TCCCAGACAAGTCTGGTACCAATTAACCGACCCCGGAGGGATGGAAGGCTTGGTTGGCCCGGGCGACTCACGACCCAGGATTTGATCCCCGGACCGCTCGCGTGGTAAGCGTGCCACTTGCCACTACACCACTTCCGCCCTTTAATAAGTAAATAAACGTCAAGCGAAAGAAACTGCACAGAAAATCTGGAGAGGAAAGCATTAAAAAATCTTCGATCGTTCGTCGTTTGTAAAGATGTGATAAATAAAGTATATTTCAAGGAATTTGATAAAATCGTACTATCATAATTTCTTCCATAAGCTCCCGCTGAAATCGACGTATACCACTGAAGTCTGCCTCGACCAAACGATTTTTAGGAAGCATTCGGAGAACTTTTCCTACCTGAAAAGCTAATCATGAGGAATAAATGTAGAAACCTTAAAAGTAAACCGGCGCTTATGCGAATGGGAGGGACATTTTCACGCGTAGCCAGAACCAGGCATGGTAGAGAAGATAGTCCAGGGAATGAGAAATACTTCGCACTTGAGTGTCTCTCCCTCCCCATGGCTTAGTCCTAAAATTGAGCTTCAAAGTAGGGAAATGCTTTGTGCTTTTGAACGCGTAGGGTCTAAATGTACCACCACCCCTCCCCCCGCCACCCACTCTCGTTCACAAGTTCTGAGTGCCGATAGCGAACAGAACAGGAGCGCTAATCCACAAAGACTGACCTCATCCCTGATATGGAACAAGCTTTCGAACTGCGTTTGTTCGGGATCAATATAGGGAAACAAGCGATGAAACTCTTTGACACTGGTGGTAAACGATCGCCGATGTTGCCAGTAGCTGTCCACAATCTGAAATTGTGACAGTTGTCCGCGTTTTTCATCAGACTATGAATCGAAAGGCATTTAGCGCTATCTTCGACCTATTTTGAGGACGCTCAGATTCGACACGGTCATCGCAAAAAGACGATGTGGTCTATCCACTAGGTTTTGGCGAGCGCCACAGCGTCCCTCTGACTCTTGAACTTTTGGCACTTTCAAAAATCCAAAATTCTTCTTATCAGCTTTATCCAGCTTACACCAAGCGGTGCCTTTTGAATATCGCATTGCCCTGCCGGCATAAGTGTTTTGCTGGGACAAAAACGACCCCTCTT